CTTGTTGCAGTGTAGAGAAAGATTAGAAAAGGATAGGAGTGGAAGCAGGCAGAGTGATTAGGAGTAGTCCAGGAGAGAGTTTTTCATGGTCGGGCCTTGGGTAGTAGAGGACCAGTTAGCCATTTGGCACTACAGACACAGCACATATGGGGCTTACAAGCTTCTGTAAAAGTGTACGAGACCTGTGGCTGAAAAAAATTGTTGGCTCCAAAAGTACAGAAAGGAAACTGCAAAGTGAAATGAGTGTTTAAAAGTCTGCAAAATCAACATTTTGTCAGCTTCATTAATTTTTAATTTGATATTAAAATTCTAATACTACATTTAAAACAATTTCTAAGTCAGATTTTCTCACTTTGCAATAATTCTTGAATATAGTATGTGTATTGGTCATTTAGAAATCACAGTCAGTCACAAGTTTAAAATAACTACTCATAACCATATATTTTGTGAGGAAAACTTATTAAATATTCTAATTTTTTTTTTTTAAAAAAAAGCATCACAACAAAAGAATCAGGAAAATAAGTGTAATTATGATGTGAATGTGTTTTGTTATTTAATATGATGTGATGTGGACTTTGAAAAATATGAGTGTTAGAGGGCTATGAAAGACTTAAAAGAATCCTGGAGTATTGGGGATAGAGATGGAAAGGCCTGGCCCCATTTAGAAATACACATAAAGGGATCCTGTTGGACTTGCTGGTGTTGAGGGGTAGAGGAGGAGTCCACGAAGAATTACAGGTTCCAGGCTTCAGCAACTGGGTGTAATAAGTTGGTTAAGTATGAGAATGGCATTTGACAAAAAAAATCAAGACTGGGAAAGAAACAGGTTTGGACAGAGCAGTTGTGAGTAGTGTGATTTATGAATTAGAGGTTCTTGGCACCTCCCAAGTTCGATACAGTAGACTCTACACATTCCTTGGCTTCTAGGAGCTTAAGGTCTAAAGGGCTTTGTTAACAGGGTTTCCTGAGGGGCATAGAACCAAAGCAAATCACATGGTGTCAGGAAAGCACTCCTTCATAGAGGAAATAACCTCAGTGGTTGGTTGAACAGAAGCTGCGATGAAGAGAGGCTGTGGCACTTGCCCCCCACTTTATCTTGTTGAGATCCGAGGCAGTTTTGGGTTGATCTGCAAAGTGACAAAATTTCAGCATGGCTCTTGCTCATCTTTTGGATAATGTAGGAGATGAAGGGACCACACAAGGCCAGGTTTGCTGGGGGTGTCTATGTATTGCAGTTACTGTAGCCCAAGTTAAGGGATACAGGAAGGTTAGAAAAATGAAAAATATTAAGTATAAATGTAGAAATTTATTCTCTAAAATACAACTTTACTTCCTTGTCACAGTTTTGAATGGTGTTCAAATTAAAGGTTCTTTGATGGGGGAATTCTAATTCTTAAAGTTGATTGAAGCGAATGAGTTTCGTCATTGTGTAAGTACTTGTTGCAATAAATAGATTCAGAAATAAGTTCAGGAAAAAAAGTAAGAGACCTAGAGAATTAAAATACTGCTCACAAACTGTAATTCCAACAGTTTGCCCTCAGTCTGATGTTTCAGCTGATCTTAGAGCTCCTCCTACTGGCCAATTCCATGATAATATGTTCTTCACAGATCTCTGATTTGAAAGTGTGGGTCTATTTTAAACCGAAATAACCTTAACCCATTGCTGACAAGTTGATTCTGACTCATGATGGCTCCGTGTATCACAGAGTAGAGCTGCTCTGTAGGGTTTCCTTGGCTGTAATTGTTATGGAAGCACCGAGCCTCGTCCTGTGGCACCTCTGGGGGAGTGTGAACTGCCGTCTTTAGGTCAACAGTCAAGTGTAAACCATCTGTGCCATTTCAGAGACCTGGGTACAGTTTACTGGGCTAAAGTACAGAATAATGTTACGACTTTGGTAACAATTTAAAAATGAGTTTATTATTTTGTGTGTTTTTATTTTCAGAATTCAATGCTCTTCTTCCCATTAATTGTTTGCTATGTGTTTATCTACATAAGAG